GTGAACTTCATCTACATATATGAAAAATAGCGTTTACAGTTGTTTCTCTGTTACAAATAACCTAAATACACGTATCAGAGAAACTGAATGGCTACTAACATTTAACAGTGACAGAAAATTACAATTTAATATTTAAAAATAAAATAATGAGCTTGATTAAAGGCTTTGGTGCCCAGACAGCTTTCTCTGTCTTGAGGTACCATCTATCCCTTCACACATTTTTTTCCTAAATCAATTCCAGACTTCCTTAGCCCATTTTTGGTTTTGCTTTTTAAATAAAATGTCTTCTGATTCATAACTTTCTTTACTACCAGCTTGAGAGATGCCACAGGATCTGGGGGGCACGTAACAAATCTCCAAGGTTTAAAGGGCTGCCAGCCATGCGGGCGCCCCACGGTAACTTTCCCACCCTCCCCATCCCCCAAAATCCCCAGGACTCGCGGAGCCTCCCGCTCTCTCGGCTTCCGGCCCCCTCCTCTGCCCTTTGGCCCAGGGCAAGGCCAGGCAGGCCCGCAGGGCGGGAGATGCAGCCGCCACTTCTTTCCCCTTCCCTCCAGCTGAGGCGGGTGGACCCAGGCGGGAAGTGAGGAACGGATCGGGGAGCCCGACAGCGCGGACCTTGTCAAGAAAGGCAAAGCCGGGTAGCCCCCACCGCGCGGGTGGTAAAAAGGTGGGCGTCGGGGAGCTCTCCAAGTGCCCAAAGCCAGCAGCCGGTAATGCTGGTTTTATAGAATGAGTTTAGAAGTGTTCCCTCTTCCTCAATATTTTGAAAGCATTTCAGGAGAATTGGTGTTAATTCTTGAAATGTTTGGTAGAATTAGTGAAACCATCTGGTCCTGGAGTTTTTGTGTGGTGGGAGTTTTTTTGTTTGTTTCTTTTTTACTGTCTCACTCTCTTGACTGGTTATTGGTCTTTTCAAATTTGCTATTTCTTCCTGATTCCGTTTTGGTAAGTTGTGTGTTTCTAGAAATGCAACCATTTCTTCTAGATTATGTAATTTTTCATAGTAGTGTCTTATACTTCTCTGTATTTCCATAGTATCATATATATATATATATACACACACACACTATAGTATAGTTGTAATGTCTCCTCTTTAATTTCTAATTTTATTTGAGTCTTTTTTTCTTAGCCTAGTTGAAGATTTGTCAATTTTAGCTTTTTGAAGAACCAGTTTTTAGTTTCATTGATCTTTTCTATTGTTTTCTGGTCTCTATCTCATTTATTTCCACTGATTTTTATTATTTCCTTCCTTTTGCTAACTTTGGGCTTAATTTGTTCCTGTTTCTATTTCCTTGAGGTATAATGTTAGGTGTTTGAGATCTTTATAATTTCTTAATATATGCATTTATTGGGGTGCCTGGGTGGCTCAGTCGGTTAAGTGTCTGACTCTTGATTTCAGCTCAGGTCATGATCTCAGGCTCATGAGATCGAGTCCCACTTTGGGCTCCATGCTGAGCATGGGGCCTGCTTAAGATTCTCTCTCTCTCCCCCTCTGCCCCTTCCACTCCTCATGCTCTCTTTCTCTCTAAAAAAATTAAAATAAAAACTATATATGCATTAATTGCTGTAAACTTGCCTCTCAGAACTGCTTTTGTTATATTCCACTGTTTTGTTTTGTTTTTTTTTAAGAAAAACAACCAAAACACCTAAAGTGAAAATGGTTTTTCACAGAAAGAGCTGCTGCACCAGGGCTATGAGGTGTGACTGATGATATACTTGGGAGTTGGGGGAGGTACGGAGAAAGGGAGGTGTCCAAAAGGACTTTCATATGCTAAAGAGGACCTAACAAGATTTCTGAGGCCTTGCCATTGTCAAGTTAAAGTTATTTTTCCCTCTAGCAAATCATTAACATTAAGACCTCTGGGAGTTTCCTTCTAGAAGTTAGGTTACTGATAAGAATGCTTTTTCAGGGCCCTGGGTGGCTCAGTCGTTAAGTGTCTGCCTTTGGCTCAGGTCCTGATCCCGGGGTCCTGGGATCAAGCCCCATCTTGGGCTCCCTGCCCAACAGAGAGTCTGCTTCTCCCTCTCACCCTACCCAACCCCCCCTTGCACACTCTGTCTCTCTCTCAAATAAATAAATAATTTTCTAAAAAAGATTGTAAGGGGCGACTGGGTGGCTCAGTTGTTAAGCATCTGCCTTCAGCTTGGGTCATGATCCCGGGGTCCTGGGATGGGGCCCCGGATTGGGCTCCCTGCTCAGCAGGAAGCCTGCTTCTCCCTGTCTCACTCCCCCTGCTTGTGTTCCCTCTCACTGTGTCTCTCTCTGTTAAATAAATAAATAAAATCTTTTTAAAAAAATTAAATAAAAAAATAAATAAATAAGATTATAAAAATATTAGCTGGGCTTGTAAAAAGCATAGACGACACTAGAGAATCCCTTACTGTAGAGATAAAAGAACTAAAATCTAGTTAGGCTGAAATTAAAAATGCTATTGCCAAGATGGAGTCCCAAGTGGAGGCCATAAAAAGAAGGATGAGCAAAGCAGAAGAGCTAAGCAGTGATATAGAACATAAAATGATGGAAAACAAGGAAGCTGAAAAGAAGAAAAAAACTATTAGATCATGAAGGTAGACTTAGGGAACTCAGTGATTCCATAAAGCAAAATAATAGCCATATCATAGGAGTCCCAGAATATGAAAAGCAGGAAAAAGGGGCAGATGGTTTATTTGAACAAATTATAGCTGATAACTTCCCTAATCTGGGAAAGGAAACAGGTATTCAAATCCAAGAGGCACAGAGAACACCCCTCAAAATCAACAAAAAGAGATCAACACCTTGACATATTACAGCGAAGCTTGCAAATTACAAAGAAAAAGAGAAAATCCTGAAAGCAGCTCAGGACAAGAGATCCTTAACCTACAAGGGTAGACACATAAGGCTGGCAGCAGACCTGTCCATAGAAACCTGGCAGAAGATCAACAAGGAAGCAAGGGCTTTGAAGGACACACTGGACCAGATGGACTTAACAGAAATATTCAGAGTATTTCATCCTAAAGAAGCAGAATACACATTCTTTTCGAGTGCACATGGAACATTCTCCAAAATAGACCACATATTGGGTCACAAATCAGGTCTCAACTGGTACCAAAAGACTAAGATCATACCATGCATATTTTCAGACCACAACACTATGAAACTTTAAGTCAACCACAAGAAAAAATTTGGAAGGACTACAAATACATGGAGGTTAAAGAGCATCCTACTCAAGAATGAATGGGTCACCCAGGAAATTAAAGAAGAATTTAAAAAATACATGGAAGCAAACAAAAATGAAAACATGACAGTTCAAAACCTTTGGGATGCAGTAAATGTGGTCCTAAAAGAGAAGTATATAGCAAATACAGGCCTTCCTCGTGAAAGAAGAAAAGTCTCAAATACACAACATAACCTTACAACTAAAGGAGCTGGAAGAACAGCAAATAAAGCCTAAATCCAGCAGGAGAAGAGAAATAATAAAGATTAGAGCAGAAATTGATGATATAGAAATTAAAAAAAAAAAAACAGATCAATGAAACTAGGAGCTGGTTTTTTAAAAGAATTAATAAGATTGATAAACCCTGGGGAGGCAAGATGGTCAGTAGGGGATCCTGTTTCAACTGTTGCCCTGAATTTAGCTGGATATCTATCAAACCATTTTGAACACCCACGAAATCAGCCTGAGATGTAAGAATATATATCTGGATTTCTACCAGCAGAAAAGCGACTGCTTTTTGCAAGGTAGGACGTTTGGAGTCATGAATCTGTGGGGAGATATCAGAAGATAAACAGAAGGGGGAGATATCAGAAGATAAACAGAAGGGGGAGGGAGCCTCCATAAGCTGGCTCCTGGAAAGTGATATAACACCTCAGCACAAAATCAGAATCCTTAGAAATCTGCACTAGTGAGAAACATCCCTCTCTGAAAGGGGCTCTGGAAATGAAAAGGCAGAATTCTAGGTAGGGCATTGTGGTCTTGGAATACGAGGAACAGGGCAAAATGGGGTTCCTGAACCAGTAGAGTGCCCGAGCAGTGGAGCCAGGAAGCAGGTTATGGTCAGCAAGCCCAGGAAGGGACTCTCAGCTCGGATCGCCATAAACCACGAACCACGTGGTCGATAACTGTTCTCTTGGGCAGCCTGAAAAAATCTGGAACCTGTGCCCGTGACCCAAAAAAAACTCACAGAGTGGTAGCAGCCCAGAAAGGGCTTAAGATCAGCACCCAGACATGATCCAGGAGCTTCAGGTGCACACCCGAGCCCACAGCTGCTCACAGTTTTATTTTATTATTATTTTATTTTATTTTTAAAGATTTTATTTATTTATTTGACAGAGAGAGAGAGAGAGAGAGGGAGAGAGAATGAGCCAGTGGGTAGAGGCAGAGGGAGGAGAAGCAGACTCCTCACTGAACAGGGAGCCCAACATGGGGCTCAATCCCAGGAACCCTGTGATCATGACCTCGACTGAAGGCAGATGCTCAACAGACTGAGCTACCCAGGCATCCCTACAAGCTCATTTTAAAGGATAGAAGAGTAAATAAATATCATGAAACAGCTTAAGAAGAAGTGACAGAAAGATGGAAAGAAACCACTCAAAACAGACTTGACAGAAACTAACAGGAAATATAATTGGTGGTGCCACTCTTGTTTTTTGTTTTTTGTTTGCTATCAAATATTTTTTGTTTCCAATTTTTATTTAAATTCCAATTAGTTAACATACAGTGTAAAATTAATTTCAGGTATAGAATTTAGTGATTCATCACTTACATACAAAGCCCAGTGCTTATCACAAGCACCCTCCTTAATCTCCATCACCCATTTAAGCCATCCCCCACCTACCTCCCCTCCAGTAATCCTCAGTTTTTTCTATAGAGTTAAGAATCTGTTTTCTGGTTTGCCTCTCTTTCCCTCCACCCCATGTTCATCTACTTTGTTTCTTAAATTCCACATATCAGTAAAATCATATATGGTATTTATCTTTCTCTGACTTATTTTGCTTAGCATAATACTCTCTAGCTCCATCCACATCCTTGCAAATGGCAAGATTTCATTCTTTTTATGGTTGCTCTTGTTTTTAAAACAAACATTAGGCTATCAAACTCATGCATATTTCTGAACTCCAACCCTCAGGTGAATGCATGCAATCAATTCAAAATACCAAAAGCCAGACTATTAAATTGCAGCTCACCCTGGTAACTAAAAAACAATCTATGTTGAGAACACCCACAAAGATGTCTTTCAAAAAAATATATTAAGAAGCAATGTTAACAAAATATATTTTTTGGAACAATGAAAGGAGGAAATGAGAAAGCCTTGAAGATTTGAATCTTTAGTATACTCATCCTTTTGGCTATATGGCTGATACTTCCTAAGGTCATGACACAGGCTAACTGAGTAATTTTTCTTCCCACAGCCATGGCCACAGCAAAGTCCACCCCTGATGAGCCCCTGCTCAGAGGCAAAAGAAGGCATGATCTCCAAGAGATGCTGACAGAAGTAGGACTGGTACTTGAGTACTGGTTACCCAAGTTGCAGGAACATCTGGGTGTGACCTGTGCCCAGGCCTTATAACACCTAGAAGAAAAAGACCTCCAAAAGCTGAAATCCCAAGCACGACATTCCTGGGAAAAAGGAGCCCTGGAGATGCTTCTTAACCTGTCACACTCAGATAGTCTTTCAGAGTTACAGGAGTCTGTGTTGGAAATGAGAAAGAAAATGCAGAAGCAGGCAGAGCAGGCACAGCAGGAGCTAAAAGACTTGCTGTCAGAAAGGAGGCAGCAACAGGAAGAAGCAGTGAGGAAAAAAGAGGCAGAGCTTAGGCCGGCAATGGAGATCCCCGAAAAGTACTGGCTACCTCCCCAAAAGTCCCTAAAAGAAGTCATGGAAAACATTCAGAAACAACTCAACTTCATGGAGGAGACACCATCTCACAGGCAAAACCTCCCAGATAGAGATCTGGTGAGATGGGCATCTGGAGGGTTGGCCCTGCATGGGATTTACAAAACCAGCAATCAAAGGGATCTGATAGAGAAGAGAGAGGAGCTACTCAGTGTCCGAAAGGAGTTCTCACTCTTTGGCCCTGAGCAGGGCACAAGGATGGAAACAAAAGAATTTACATCTTTTCAAGCAGAATCCATGTTCACCCAGATTATGGAGAAGCTGGGCTTCAGTGCAGCTGCCTCAGCCAAGGGTGAAGGTTGGGGATTTAGCCTGGAAGCTAGTGTAGATCACAGCAAATATTCAGAATCTAAGAAAACCCGACAATCACATTCTAAGCACTCTTATTTTTGCTCAACCAAGTTCAGCTACATCCCACTGGCTTCCTGCCACTTTCCCATTGATCAGCTCCAGTTAACCAAGGCTGCTCTGCAGGAACTGAAATGCATTGAAGATCTTCTGGGTCAGTCTGCAGGCCTAGACAGACTCCCCTTGCTAAAGGCCGGGACTGAAGCCTTCTTCCACAGGTTTGGCTTTCGTGCTAATCAGGGCCCTCTGCACCTGGGAGGAATCTACTGGTGGAAAGCCATTTCAGAGGGTTTCCAAAGTGAGCAACTGGCAGAAGTGAAAAAGCAGTCAGCAGAAGCCCTGGATATTTATATAAAGGGCAGCTACAGTGGCCTTGGAATGCGAGTTGCTGCAGGTGTGGATGGGACAGACTCTTATTCAAAAACAGACTCTGAGAGCACAAGCTTCCAAAATCTCCAAACCAAAATCCAATTATTGGTGGCCCAGACAGGTGGCCCACCAGAAGCAAATGGCCTTTTCCAGTGGAAAGCTGGCCTAGTGGCCAGTAATCAAACCTGGTGTGTCACTGACCGGGGAATTCAGCTGGTGCCCATTCGGGACATCCTCCTCTCCAGCCACAGAAGTGATTTTAAGGATCCTCTTCAGGTAGCTATCTGCCTGAAAGACAGCTATACTGCTCTCATTGGCTTGACTTCCTAGATCCAGAATGGAGAGGAATTATTGAGTGTTGTGAAGGAGGCTAGGGTTTTCCTAGAAGAAGTGAAATCCTGGGAGGTATCTGATCCTGAAGAGCAGCTTAAAAAACTGATAAATTTCATGCAAATGTTGAGTCAAAAAATAAAAACTTATGACACTTGGATTAACATATGCCTCACAGATAGGGATCTACAGAATTTTCTGGTAAACACTGTCAACTTTTGCAAAAGGTCTCCCATATATAAAACAAAATTTATTAAATCTCAGTTGCGCAGCCTTTTGGATCCTCACATCTATAGTGTGACAAACTTTCCTCAGGCTCATTCTATCATGCGATGGATCTTCTGGTCAGAGTCAGAGCAGAAGCATATCAACATCTCCCAATTTTCTGAATTAATTAAAATCTTAAAAGAAACCAAAAATGACTTCATGGAAGTAAACACCAAATCTGAGTCCCCAGAAATAGTGGAGGAAGCCCAAAGAAAGGCAATTTATAAGGTCAGCCAGTCTCTTGGCTGCTTCTTGAATTACCCCCAAAAAATAGAGCAGCCAGACATACAGCGCTTGCTACTTTCCACTGCAGCTGGTGCAGGTTATCACATGGTAAACAATACTTTTCAGTATCTCCTAGGGTGTGATGAGTTAGAATTCCTACTGAGTGAAATGCAAACTGCCCATGATAAATACCAGGAGCTCAAAAATATTTGCAGCTACAGGGCTCAAGCATTCCTGGTGCTCACATGTCTGACAGCCACTGTTACAGCTCTTTCTCCAAAGGAGAAAACACAACGCTTGACATTTGTAAGAGCGCCTGAGACAATCATTGTCTGAAGAAGTTGTACATGTCCTCACCAAACCTGGAGCAGATTATGATTGGGAAAACCTAGAGAAAGACTTGAGATTGCTCATTGATGGGAATTATGAAGCCACCATCTCTTCATTGCAAATGGATGAGGTGAAAAAACATTTGCAAGGTATCTTCCATGAAAAGGAACCGCCTCAGGAACCACATGATAATGAAAGCAACAAATGGGAGGCCACAGAAAATGCAGCCTTCTTAGAATTACTCCAGCGTCTAGGCCTAGAACAGTACTACCCAAAAAGGATGAGCAGAGCTAACTTCCATCTGATCTACAAGACTTCTGTGTATAACACCCAGCCCAGCTCTGAGCGGGAGCTTCCCTTCTACTTCCTACAGAAGTTACTAATGCTAGATTATGGGCTGAGATACCTGGTCTTCAAAGACGATGGAAACACAGAGAATCAAGTCTCTCCAAGTGCCTCAAATCAGAAAAATGAGGCTTTCGATCCATATGAAGACTTTTCTGAAGACAGTGATAGTCCCACTAATCCTTCAGCCACTAATTCCAGGCCCCATATTCACCCTATGGATATTCAGATGGCAATTCTTCACTGTACAGATGATTTTGCAAGACAATATATTCTGTCCAAACTTTCCATTTGTCAGTTTGCCCTCCCTCTTCTTACACCTAATCCCTGCAATTCTCAAAATGAATTCTCTCTGTGGTCTCTCAGTCAAATTAGGAGAAGCTGGCAGCAAGCAAGGAAATCACAAAAAGAGGAGAAGAACAATTATAACAATCAGCAGATGTGTCGTGTCTCTACCCCCATTGTGTCCTTTATTAGGGTTGGAAATGGCTTCTCTGCTTCCAAATCTCAGATTATGAAGTGTCTTCTCAGTAAACATTAACATGATATCTTTTTTCATCGACACTGCAGAGGGAGCAGCAAAGACTATCTCTTGATGGTGGGTGTAGTGGAAATCTGCTGGTTCTGTCCTGGGGGGGAAGATAAGGGCAGATTTGACAACTGTTTGACCTTCACCAATCTTCATGGAGATGCCAAGGAACATAAGAAGCTACTCACCTTCCTGCAGGAGATCTCTTCTCTCATTGTGGTGCTCATGGCAACTTCTGATGACAATAAAGAAAACCAAAAAATTGTCCATGGCCTGTGTCAGCTATCAAAACCTTTGATCTGTTTGTTGGATGACAAAGAAAAAATCAGGGCCAATAATTCTGGACAAAAGGTGAGAATTGGGATCAGGAACAGAAATGAGGCAGAATTAACAGAGGAGCTCAAAACTACAATCAGAGATTTGCTAGAGTTCTCTGACACTGCTTTGAGCTTAGAGGACTGTGCCCAGATTGCTCGAAAGCAAGGATTCCTTATTGATGAGGACCAGGGAAACTGCAAATAAGCCAAAGAAAAGGCAGAGATTCTCATGACCCTATTAGAAGACATGCAGATATCTCAGATGAAGGAAAAATTACTACCCCTTCAGGGACAGCTCTGGCATCTTTGGTGTAAAAAGGACAAAGAACTCTATCATCTGAGAGAAAAGGGAAATCGGAGCATTGAACAACACAAGAGTGAGATTGAGGTAGATAAACAATTAATACGGAGGGAACAATTGACCAGAGCCTTTCCTCTCAATGAGTTAATGCAATCTGTCCTTATAATTAGCCAAAAACATTCCGAAACTCATACCAAACTCTACTTCTTACAATGGCTGAGTGTGTTCTTGGACAACCTGACTGCAGGACACTTGGAAAAACTGAATGAAAAGAAAAAGTCTTTGTGGTCATTGGTACAAAAAGAAAAGCAAAAGGCACCAAAGAACACCTCCCTGAAACATTGGCAAAATGAGATAGAAGCTATTTCTACAGAGATTAGTGACTGCACCTTGGGAATTGAGCAACTTCTCAGAGAAGTAGGCCAGATCTATGAAGCTCTGGAAGAAATTTCTTCCACAAGAGATATTGTTTTTCTCTCCCTTCCCCAGATTGCTGCAGATCTAATGATATCTGGTGTTCCCATTGAGCTGATGGATGGGGATGCTTCATATGTGCCTCTAAAATGGGTAGCAGCTATTTTTGACAAGGTCTCTGAGAAACTTGGAGACAAACGGCTGTTTGTTCTCTCTATCCTTGGCCTGCAGAGCTCAGGGAAGTCCACCCTGCTGAATGCCCTTTTTGGGCTACAGTTCACTGTCAGTCCTGGGAGGTGTACCCGGGGGGCCTACATGCAGCTCCTGAAAGTGGAGGAGACATTCACAGAGGAACTTGGATTTGACTTTATGCTTGTTGTGGACACAGAAGGAATTCGGGCCCCAGAACTCAGCAGCAAATCCCAGAATCATGACAATGAGTTGGCAACCTTTGCTATCGGACTTGGAAACTTGACTCTGATCAATATTTTTGGGGAAAATCCATCAGAAATGCAAGATATTCTACAAATAGTTGTCCAAGCCTTTCTAAGGACGAAAGAAGTAAAAATCTCCCCAAGTTGCCTTTTTGTCCATCAGAATGTGGGGGAAGTTACAGCTAAAGACCAAGCTGTGGAAGGACTAAGACGGCTAGAGCAGCGACTGGATGAAATGGCAGCAACAGCGGCTGGACAAGAACAGTGCTCAGGTGTAACCCACTTCAGTGATGTCATTAAGTTTAATATCAATACTCACGTCTACTACTAAAGGCTACTACAAAATAGCCTTTAACTATTATATATCATATATTAACTTGGATATTCAAGCCAAAATTGTTGTGTATAAATAAAAAAGACCTTTGACAAATTCCTCAGGCATTGAAGTGTGATTATTCAATGAAATTCAGAGACTGTGCTCAAGAGATCCCAAATAAACTAGCAAGAAATAAATTGGGATAGAAAAAAGATGACTGCGTAGGAATGAGGTTTTCTGTGATAGTAGTGGAGAGAGTAAAGCTGCTATCAAGGTGAAGTCAGGATTAAAAAGATTACAGTGTCAGCAGGTTGGGGTCACAGAGGGAGGAAATTTCAGGAACTGTGGAATAGGGAGGAAGGAATCAGTAGGAATAAAAATCATATGATTATCAAGAGTGGAAGACACTGGACCCTGGTGTAGGTCACAGGATTAGAAGTGGCCGGAGTTGTAAGGTCAGTAGAGGTAATATTCACATGGTCAGTGGAATGGGTCTCTGAGAGTCACTGAAAGTGGGAACATGGAAACACAGGAATTCGAGGTCACCACATCAATTGGTTTAGGGAATTTCCAGAGTAAGTTAAGCAAGAGATCCAAAATGTAATAGGAAAGGAGTCACAAGGCCTGTAGGGATGGGGCTACTAGGAGAGTGATGAATTCTAAGGCAAGAAACAAACCGAGGGTTCTAGGGGGGCGGGGGGGGGACATGGGTTAGCCTGGTGATGGGTATCAAAGAAGGCACGTATTGAATGGAGCACTGGGTGTTATACGCAAACAATGAATCATAGAACACTACATCAAAAACTAATGATGTAATGTATGGTGATTAACATAACATAATAAAATAAAATTTAAAAAAAATTTTTTAAAAGAACAAAAAAAGATCAAACCACAGAATAAGATGTGAGCTGTTTAAATGAAGATGAAAATCACTGAACAGTTCTGAAGTAGGTCTTTCCCTCAGAGACAGAGGATATAAATATGAGAAAGTCTAGGGAATGGGTTGTATTATGGACTAAATGTTTGTGTCCCCCACAAAATTTATATTGTTGAAGCCCTAACTCCTAACTCTGATTGAGAGGGTGGGGCCTTTGGAGATTATTAGAGTAAGATGATTTAATGAGGGCAAGGCCCTCATGATGGGATTAGTGCACTTATAAGAAGTGACACCAGAGATCTTGCTCTCTCCATGCAATGAACCAAGGAATGGCCACGTGAGCACACAGTGAGAAGGCAGCCATCTGCAAGCCAGGAAGAGAGCCCTCACCAGGAACCTAACCAGCCAGCACCTCGATCTTAGATGCTCCAGAACTGAGAAATTAATTTCTGTTGTCTAAGATACACAGTCTATGATTATTTTGTTATGGCAGCCCAAACTAAGACAGAGTGTATCTAAAAATTGATCCCATAAAGTTTTGGCATACTCTTCCCTTGGACTATAAGAAAAGACACATGAATCATACAATTTTTATTTTTCCCCTTCCCTCAAAATTGTAATTCTCTTGAATCATTCTAACCATGTAGTAAGGTCTGGGAGTGTTGCATGCATAAGTGGACAAAGATGGAAAGGAAAGGGTGCATATTACCACTGATAACTATCGTGATAATTACTAACACTGCTATCTTTGTAGTAGTGGCACCTGTAAGACTTGGACATGTAATTTAACCTCTCTGTGCTCAAATGCCCTATCTGTAAAACAGTACATTTCTCATGCAGTTGTTGAGGGAAAAAAATGAATTGCTATTTATAAAGCATTTAGGATAATGCCATACAGAGAGCAAGTACCCTGTAAGTGTAAGTAATTATTATGTTATATTTCCTCTCCCAGGTACCTTATTCCTTTGCTTTTGAGTAACATTTTATTAGAATCACATTGATAGGTTAAGATAGTCTTACCTGAGGTTCATTGGTAAGAATATTCAATAAGGACTCCTTGGGAAATCACAACTGGAACATAATAGGTTCTCAATAAATGCTATTATAACTTATAACTCAAAATGCATCTCAAAATATCGACATCCTTTGATACTTTATGAATAGTTACAGTGATTTCAAACACCAATCAACCAGTCAAAAACTTAGAGGAGTCCCTGCCACAGTTCTTTAGCAGTGTGGCAGATAATGTTAGGTTCCTCAGAAGCAGGCCTAAGACAGAGAGTCACATAAAAGTGATTAATTAGAAAAGTTAACCCAGTAAAAATTAATAAGGGGAAGCAATAAGGGAAAGGTAATTTTTTTAAAAGATTTATTTATTTATTTATTTATTTGAGAGAGAGATGCGAGCGTGAGAGGGGTGGGGGGGTGTGGGCAGAGGAAGAGTGAGAGGGGGAGAGACAATCTCCCATCCAAGTACTAACCAGGCCCGACCCTGCTCAGCTTCCAAGATCAGACGAGATTGGGCACGTTCAGGGAGAGAGACAATCTCAAGCAGACTCCCTGCTGAGTGCAGAGCCTGACTCGGCCAGATCCCATGAACCTGAGATCATGACCTGAGCTGAAATCAAGAGTCAGACACTCAACCGACTGAGCCACCCTGGCACCCCTAAGGGAAAGGTCATTTAAGGTGAGGGAATAAATTAGTAGGCTTAAGTAAAATTTTGAGAGTTAGGGAGTGACAGCTTGCAGTTGTAGTTAGGAACACAAACTCAGAAGTTAGACTGCTGTGTTTCACACCATTTACTAGCTGTGTGACCTTGAATGAGTTCCTCAACCTGTCTATGCTCTATTTTCTTCATCTATAAAATGGTGCCAGCTCACAGAGGGGTGAGGATTACTTGGGATGACATATATGCCTGGCACAGAATACATGCTCCAGTAATGTTAGGTGGTAGCAGCAGTAGCAGCAGCCAATCATGTAAATAGAATTACAGTAATTATTAACATTATTATCATTGCTATTATACTGAAATGTAGTTATACCTGCACCCCATTCTCAACTGTAATTTCCTGAAGAAGAGGGTCCATGTCTTGCTTATTTCCATATGCTCAGTATCTAGAATGGTATTTACCCCAGTGTAGGTGATGAAAATGGCTCTTAAATATAATGGACAAGTTTACTAGATATTGGAGGTGAAGTGATGACAGGTGGAAGGAAAAGAAAGAAATCAAAGATGGTTCTAATATTTCAAAAAGTGATAATGTAATTAACTTAACTAAATAAAGGTCACCAATGCCCTCTACATTGCTAAATCCATTTTTTTTTTCCTCTCAATCATCTTACTTGACCTACCAACATCATCTTATCAACTCTCTCCTCCCTGAAACACTTCACTTGGATTTGAGAATACGGCACACTTGCTTTTCCTCCTACGGTCACTCTGTTTTACTGGTTCTTCCTCTACCATTAAAACTCTCAATGCTAGCATACTCCGAGGTCTCAATTTTTGGTCTTCCTTTTATATGTAAATTCTCTCCCTCTTAATGTGTCCCCTGTCACCAAGGCATTAAATACCACCTATACATGGACGACTCCAAATATATTTCACCCACACCTCAATCCAAATGTCAAACGCCTGCCTACTCAACAGCTGCACTTGGATATCTTAAAGACATCTCAAACTTAACATGCTCAAAACTGGATTCTTTTTTTTTATTATGTTATGTTAATCACCATACATTACATCATTAGTTTTTGATGTAGTGTTCCATGATTCATTGTTTGTGCATAACACCCAGTGCTCCACGCAGAATGTGCCCTCTTTAATACCCACCAGGCTAACCCATCCCCCCACCCCCCTCCCCTCTAGAACCCTCAGTTTGTTTTTCAGAGTCCACAGTCTCTCATGGTTCGTCTCCCCCTCCGATTTCCCCCCCTTCATTCTTCCCCTCCTGCTATCTTCTTCTTCTTTTTTTTTTAACATATAATGTATTATTTGTTTCAGAGGTACAGGTCTGTGATTCAACAGTCTTACACAATTCACAGTGCTCACCAGAGCACGTACCCTCCCCAATGTCTATCACCCAGCCACCCCATCCCTCCCACCCCCCACCACTCCAGCAACCCTCAGTTTGTTTCCTGAGATTAAGAATTCCTCATATCAGTGAGGTCATATGATACATGTCTTTCTCTGCTTGACTTATTTCACTCAGCATAATACCCTCCAGTTCCATCCACGTCATTGCAAATGGCAAGATTTCGTTCCTTCAAAACGGGTTTCTAACTCTACCCTCACTCAAAACCTGTTTTGCCCACAGCCTTCCTCATCTCATTTAAAGGGAAATCCATTGTGTCAATCCCCAAGGCCAAAAAATACTCTAAATCATCCATAATTCCTCTCACTCCTCTCATTCATTGGAAAATCCTGTGGAATCTACTTTCAAAATATACCCAAATCCAACCATTTACCACCACTTCACTGCAGGCACTGAGGCTCAATAGCCTCCTAACAGATCTATAGCCTATTCTCAAGAAGGCAGTCAGAAAGCTCTCTTAAAAATTTATGCTAGATCTTTTTGATCTTTTGCTCAAAAACCTGAAATAGCTCCATTTCTCATTCAGTGTGAAAGTCAAAGTCACAAGATTCATCAAGGCCCTGTGTGATATGGCCCCTACTTACCATTCTGATCTACTCTCCTACTCTATCCCCCTTGGTCACTCACTCCAACCATACTATTTGCTGTTCCTCAAACATTCATTGTTGTCCCTGCCTTAGGACCTTGGCTGAGCTCTTACCTCTGCCTGGGGGAATATTCTTTCTCCAGATACCCCTTATACTCCCAAATACTTCTAAGTCTTGGCTTACACTTCATCTTATGAATGAGATCTTTCCTAGACCACCGTACTTAATAATGCAGTCTGCACCCCTTCCCCCTCTGGCATCAAAATCCTTACAAATGACTTTTTGTTTGTTTTTAAACTTATACATTCCTGGCTTCTATCATATACTCATTCACTATTTTATTGTTTATTGTCTAGAATATATAAGGTCTATAAGAGCAAAAGATCTCTTTTTTTCACTGTGACATTCCTGGCACCTAGCACAGTGTATACCTAGTTCAGTATAAGTACACAGTA